GTCTAGATCGTATTGGAAAGTACAGACCAAAGGAGGGCAAGTGCTTTAGTTTGGAATTCTTACTACACAAACACTCAGAATGCGGAAAGTCTTTCTGGTCGACATTCTTCGGACTCAATTTGCGTCTAACAAATTAGTCATAGTTTGTACTTACCGTACTTGAGAACCAAGAATAAGTGGCAAATCAGAAAGATCCTTGGCATTTTTAAAAGCGTGTCCTTCCACTATGCCCAATGACTACATAGCTGCTCTGACGACACAAACTTAACTCCACATTTAATCCAAAATTGTTGCCAAAGAATTTAATTTGTAAACATTTGTATACACTCATACCCGTCTTTTACTCGAAATTTGGACCCTGAAAATAAGGTAAGCTGGTAATCACCTCTAGTTTCAAGACTTGACACTTGATTTAAAACTCTCAGTCACATCGAACACTTCTTCTCGAGGATAAGTTAGTCTCGAGAATAAGTAGCGTAAATTCGATCAAGCAGCCAATGGCAACATAGCTCGCAGATTGATCATGTAAATGAACTGAACGATACATGTAAGATGAATCAAATTATAATTATTTAAAAATTAGAATTTTAAGTAAACGATTTATGATGTTTTTTTTCGTTAAAATTTTGTTAGTTTAACTTCGGTTCTGGATAAACACGGCGAATGCCGGCGAAATAAATCCCAGTCTTAGCCATGGTTATGTAGAATTTATAGAAATGTATAGTGCTTAAGGAGGCAATTCCGGGAGAAAGACCCTTAGGAATAAACTTTCTTTCATTTCTATATCGTGTCTACTATTAGTGCCATCCGGTCCTCATATTCATATCTTTAAATACATTATGTAGAATTATCGTAGCTCAGTGGTTAAAACGTTGTCGTTCTGATCATAAATGGCCACGGTCGATTCCTTAGGGGTACATTTCTTTCTTTTTTTTATTATTAATTACTTTTTCCAGCAGTTCTTTTAAGAATGCTTACTCCTTAACGGTGAATTAAATAACTGAAAGATAGTTCAATTGAATCCCGACGAGCTGTACGGCACCACTGTTACACCTATTTCAAAAAACGTTATCGTCGCCATGACTCAGTCCGCAGTCTTGAGCCTGCAAAGAATCTCGGGATTGTCATATACAATTATATATTCACATTCAATTATTCAAAATTCTCGTTCTTAATTTCAAGTCGCCAAAACACAGTTTTGCCGTACTTCAAAATAAGGCAGGATTACCAAATATGGCTACTAAACGAAGGACAACTTTTCTGTGGAGCAATTTTTTGATATGTTTACCAATAGAATTTTAAGTAAACGATTTTTGAATACAGATTTTTTTCGTTAAAAACCTTATCATTTTTAAGTTTAATGAGTCTAGACAAGCAGGGGCTAGCACCTGCCGGTTAAAAAAAACATGCCTAGCCTATAATTTCAGATCCAGCGAGCTCAGGTTCAAGTCCCAGATGACCCATAAATGATTATGAACAAAAGCATCGCAGGCTCAAGTTTACAGGAAAGTAAGTGAATGACTGAGTAACTGACTTAGTGAGCGACACATTCGTTCCCCTAAAATAACTCTTCGATGCTTCGCAATCTTCGAGTTAAAAATAAAGGGTACAATTTGACCATTTCTTTATTTCTTTCTGTCCGAATTTTTTTTAGTTTTATTGATTGTTGCTGATCTTTTTAAAGGAATTGGAAATGCAATACACAGGCAACGAYGTGTTTTTGACCAATCATTTCATTTGCAAATTTTCGCATGATCGGTGATTGGCTGATTAGACAATTAGACATTAAGTTAGTTTGAGCGTGAATATGAAAAGCGTTTTGCATCAGACTTTAAATTTACGCATTTTAAAAAAATGTCAGTTCTGATCACTCTACAACATAAGCACTAACCTGCATAAACAAAGTGTTTAAGGATTAAGAAGACAAAAAGGAAGGTGTTTTTTTTTTGTTTATTCTTTTGTCTTTGATTAGCTAAAGCTCTTGCTTATGTTAATTTCGATACACGCTTGACTTCATTCCTTTGTCTTATCGTTTGTAATTCGACATGCTCATGTCGTAGTGAGTAACAGGACCTAAACGGCATATAACACCTTCACCAAAATGATCCAGTCTCTTTTTGGCAATCTTTTCAATTCCTCATCACGAATTTCCAATACTCTTCATTTGCTTTTCATGCAGTTTCCTTTATTCCACCTTTTTTTCCCGCCATCCGGTGTCCACCTTTACTTTTTTCACTTAAATGCTTTTTTCTTAACTTTATTCAGGCTGGGCTACATCCAAATCATTTTTTTTGGGGCTACATCTTTATTTTATTGTAGTATTCACAATTTGATTTTTTTTTATTAATTTTTTTATTATTATTATTTTTCTAATTAAAAAAATTTAACGAGCAATTTTGACAAGAATATTCATCTTCGACAGCCATCTTTGATATTTTTTTTATCCCATTAAAAAAATAATCATTGAGTCAAATATCTCAAAATGTGTAAAATACTTATGAAACTAACATTTAATGAATAGTTAAAAAATGCATAATATAACAAGAAATACGCTTCGAACATGAAAAATTTAGCATACTTTACTTTTTTAAAAACCTATGTGTTAAAAACTGGTTGCCATGGCAACATGAAAGACAATATCAACATAAAATKTACATCAAAATCTGCCAAGATGAATTTTAGAAAATTACGAAAGTTTCAGAGCTGTAACTCTGTTGGTTCAAACGTTATTGGCATGTTACTCTAGGGGGGTCAATAACCCYCATCTCCCCTCACCATTAATTGTAAAGATTGAAACGAAATTAAGAGACGTATTAGCTTTCAATATTACTGACCTGGTGAACAAATTTAAAGARGACATAATGAGATATGAGCAAGTTCAAATTGGACTCTGAATGTTCCGAATGCTCAACTTTTATTTTATCTTGCTCTTTGCACGACTTAATTATCAAAGCTAAGATTAAGGTCGCACCTTCGTGYACTCAAACCATATTTAAATACAAATTAAAGTTGTTTAGAGTTTTCAAGAAAGAATAAAAAAAAAGATTACATATTAGGCAGCCTTTTGAGTTTTTCCCCAATATCCCATGCATTTTCGTATCGGTGCTTTTACCGGTGAAATAACATGTGACAACCATAAAGCTTACTATTACTGATTTTTACAGTGTATGGCTCCATTCCGTCGTTCAATTTCGGTTTCATCTGTTCAACCTTTTTTTGCAATATGTCATGTGCTTGTAATAAAAATGCAAATTTCTATCCTGGCAATGATGGAAAAAAAAAAACTGCGCTGAATAATTATGTAAGGAATAATRATCGTYACAGTGACTTTAAAATAATCTAGTCGCTCCCTTTAAAGCCCGGAATTTTCTCGAGCGATCCATTTATTAGTATATTATATAGCTATAACAATATGCTATATATAATTGGTCAGATGTGCATCAGTTTGTTTTTGTATTCATTACAATCCATTTATTTCTATGATTAAGCTGATAATTTTTTATGGTATCACTATTGACAGTCTGGGTTTTGGAGTTAATGGAAAGGATCACTTATTACGGCAGGTGAATTCGAATTAGAAGACGAAATACTTGTCTTTTACGAAATTCTGTCACATAAAACCCAAAAAGATATGAATTTGTACTCGTCAAGTTTGGCTGAACAAGTGCACAGATAGATTGATTCGGAAAAATCATCACTAGCCGGATTCATAAATCGAACGCGTTTTCTGCCTCACTTGCCCAACTATTTACAGATTTACATAATATAGATGTTTTTTTTTTTCTTTGTTAAGCAGTCTAAACATTGGCTCCATTTAGTCTCCTCCTCGCGCAATCCTGTGWGCTCAAAACTGAAATTTAGTCATTGTCTCTGTTTTAGATGTAAATTATTAGGGAAATGGATGTAAATTATTACGGACATGGTCCACCAGCATCACTTTCGAGCTTTTATTTGCTCATTAACGAAAACATGTAATCTTTAACCTTATTTATTTATTATTGTACATAGTTAAATATATTTGATTCAAAATTGTATTTTATTGGAATATTTAATAAAGTGATTTTTATTTTTATTTGCTCATGTTTGAAAATAAAAATGCATCGTAATATAAAAAAAAATGAAAAAAATCCTGTTTTTAAATGACAATTCTTGTTTGGTTTTGACGTTGTTCAAGTATTTTGTAATGTATATCTATTAACGTGAATGGTTTGATGTAAAAGGTACCAGTATTAAAAGTACCAGTTCACGTTGCCAAGCATGCTGCACGCAAATATAATTGAAATTTGCACTGAAAATTAACGCRGGATAAACTTTACTACAGGAAATGCTGTAATGTAACAAATATCATTTAATTGCATTTCTAATTCCYTCGAATATAATATACAGAAACACAGAATAGAATATAACTTTATCTATCAACCGCATTCTCATTCAAGACTTAAAAAAATATTAATGATCTGTCTTTTAGTTAGTCTTTCAACATCTAGTCACCTGCATTGGATACAAMGCATTTCAATCCACTTCTCTGCTTACTTTGATAGCTTCATTTTCCACAGGAAACRGATTACTTCCATCATTTATATCTTCATTTTGAGAGATATTGTTTTGTCTAAATTTCCTTGTGGTCAATGACATTACCTTTTTGTTATTTGGCAACGTTAATTCGATAGGGTTCGTAGTATGTTTTTTTTTACTAAAACCATTTTCTAAGAAGTGGTCCGGAAGGCCAAGCACTAATGTGGATGTGGATGCTCATATCATATGTGCATTTGGATATATTGTATGGACATAGTTGGAGGAACTAGATATGTTTTAACATATCTCAAGTAATTAAAATTACTTAAAAGAATAAAATTACTTACATATAATTAAAATCACTTGAGTCAAGATGTCATGTTGCGAATGATAAAATAGCTTCTGCTTAGAGATTGGTTATATACATATTAACATATATACAGCTTTGTAAAAACACATTGCCAACATAGGAAATCACATCAAAGATGGCCAACTTTACTGCTATAAATCCCATCATGAGTAATTCTTCAGATTATAGTCTATGCAGGTTTGAAGACTACGATCCCAACAGCAGCCCTGAGAAAGCAAAGCGCGCAATTTTCATCTTACTGAGTATAATAGGAATGTTAGAGAATGTTTTTATCATCGCTATGGTTTTCAAACAYATTTCTCGCTCAAATCTCTGCTATCTGGTTGCTAATATGGCCGTAGCGGATAGTTTGTACATCATCGTTGGATTTTATAGAAGAAYAACGTGGCTGTTCAGCAAAACTGCGTACCCTGACAATCAAATTTGGGGTGATATTCTCTGTAAAGTCATWGAGTTTGCGTTCCGTGTCTCRTACAGAGTTTCCTTAGTTWCTCTTTTGATAATCAGCATCGAAAGATTTAAAGTTACGAGRGAAACACTGCAGAGATTGAAGCCGTACACAGTGAAGCAACGATTKGTAGTTTTCGGTTTCTGCTGGTTAATACCCATGGCATTCGCTGTTTATTTGTTGTACGAAGTCAAATCCCTTGCCGGGATGTGCACTGTTTTACCAAGCAATTTGGCCATGYCRTTACTTCTGTCCAGCGCCGACTTAGCAAGCTTAATTTCTTTAGTCATAACATTCATTCTGAGTATTATAACAGCCAAAAGACTTTCCAAACCACAGGCCATTCAAGCATTTCTCAATGATGAAGAGCGCCAGAAACGAGCAGCTCGAACAAAAGCAGCTGTACGTATGGTCCTAGCTTCTGTATTGCTGTATACGATCTGCTGGCTTCCACTGTTCATCATTCGATTTYTACGMAATTTTGGAGATTCWATCTTTGGTTTGACYGGGAGTGGGATSATYATCGATTTGTCAGTCTGCATTGATTGGGGTTCTCTCAATTTCGTTGTATATTTTTTTCTACCTCTAATCAACTCGTGTTTGAGTCCGTGTATTTACATAATGTTTCTCTCTGAATTTCGAGAGCAAGCAAAGAAGGTATTTTGTTCTACGGCTTGCAGCAGACGGAATGATGAGCTTGAATTGCAGGCAACTGGAAGGCTGAACAATAACAGGAATTAAAGAAACGCTCCATGTAAACAAGCCACTAAGAAGAAATGAAATTATTTTGATCTAAAAACGAAATGAGCTGACAACTTTTTAGCCATTTTAAGCCTTTTTTATAACTTTAAAGCCGTGAGGCCTTTTCAAAATTGTATACATAGATATACTTCACGAGTATTATATCAATAGATTTTACGGATGTGCAATCACGATTAATGTTATTTCTCAACAGAAGACAGCATATATGCAGTCAGGGTTAGAAATTATGTTATTTTGCACAATGATCCAGCGAGGGATGACTAAACCATGTAAAAAATAATAATAATAATGATAAACGATAAATTGTATTTGTTTCCGTCTTCTTTTATTTCTGGGTGTGGGTGCAAAAGCCGTTAAGTTATGCCAAATAAAACGAATCAAACGACTCAAATTTAATTTTAATTAGATTTGATATTCTATGTGTTCGTATTAATTTAATATATTTCACTTTCACTAAATTATGAATGGTCTGTTTCTCTATAGCAACGATTTTGTTATAGAAAAGAATTTTGAAATTAAAATTGCTTAGTCAAATCGCGGTTGCCATAGATAAACAGAACATTTCTCTAAAAAAATATATTAACACATAGCAGGRAATAGTATTAAAAAAACACCTGTGAATTCGTAATGAGGCAGTCTTTTTTCATGCAGTATGCAAATCATTTTGCGGTTATATTCTGTTCAAATATCAATTTTAATGTTGTTTCAGTTAGCAAAGTAAATCTTAATAAGAAAAGGGCTAAAAAACATAATTGAAAAGGGATTTTGTATCGACATTCAAGATTTCTATTCGGTCAAGAGCAGTGTCAAGCAAAAGTAAATAACACGCTTGCAATTTTTTTTTCTGGAATTAATATATATTTTTTTGTATTCAAAAGTRTTCGTCTCGTKAATGAGCAACAACATAGCGCGATGAAACTATCAGAGATTGGTTTTATCCATTTTAATCGTTTTGCTATGCGATGAGTATAGATGACAAGTGCGTACCGTGCTTAACCCAGAAATTCGATATAGTCAGCGGKTCAATGTAAAGACGCGGGCTCATGTATAAGTGAAGCAAGGAAACGGGRTTTTGACATCATAAAAGTGGYTTTCGTGTAAAAAATCTACTTATATATCTAASTTCATGCTCTCTGAACTATAGTTTCTCTAAAGCAACAACTGTCTTTCATCTGACATATCTTCTATTTGTTGTTGCGTTATACCCGCCAAAATCTTTCACACAGGAAACCCGAAATGCTTATTTTGCTAGAAAAGGCTTATTTTGCTACGTGAAGACTCATGGGAGGTTACTAAGGTATAAACAGAGAAAAATGGCGTGCTAGATCATGTAGAAGTAGAAAATGTCTTGTTTCTGCTCAAAATCGACTTGGAMCTTCGCATWTCACTATCCGAGAGGTCAAAGAATGGCAGTTATTCRAAGGAAAATAGGTTTAGGTCAAGTGTTTTTATCTTTTTTTGGCACAGATGATGTATAGCTTAGTATGTGTTCTAACGAATAAGATTTGTGAGGATGAAAAATCTGGTAGTTAAGCGGATGTGAAGTGTTTTTATAAGGAAAGTATGGCGGCTGACGGCTATTTGGTGACTGAGTATTTTCAATTGATTTTGGAACCGGTTTAAGACTTCGAGACTGCTTATTTTATATCGCCATATCAAAGACAATACAACAATCATTAAATACAATTTGTGNGTTATACAATTGACAATTGACAGCGGCAAAAAGTTGTCTTGTTTCTTTAAATGGTTCTAAAATGTAGCTAAAATGCTCTAAAGAGCTGAAAATCTTACAAAATCAACTGATTRCCATGCAAACGACATGGAATGAGGTATATAATTCAARGCAGTGTCGGATGATTCGTGCAGAAATGATTGGGCATTTTCTACCGCCGATCAATCACAAAATCTTCAAAAACTGACGATGTCGTGTGTTTGAAGTTGAAAACTGCACGTGTGAGCTTACTGAACTCTGTATACAAAATATTTATTGTGTATAAAGCATTTTAATTCTTTATCAAAATTTGTTTTGATGATGTTTAACTTGAAAAACTTAGACAAATGCAAAAATATGAACTGTCATTAGAAGGTACACCTGTTTTATGATGGCACAGAACTGCAACCAGATGTAAAATTGTAAATTACAAATTAAAGAAAAACACCAAATAAAAAGAACAGAAACACAAGATCTTACATGATTCAAACGATCGAAATATTATTCAAAGTTATTCGATACTGACAAAACGGCAAAGACTGCAGTACCGTTTCTATTGTTTTTATGACATTTTTGATTTTTTGCATATTTTGAATAATATAGACGCTCTTAGAGCGTAAAGTGGAGTTAGTTGTTTTGGAAAACTGAGAAAGACATGGAATCTAAAGAAGTTACTTAGAGTTCAGTTCGGTAAAAAATTATGATGTAGTAAACAACTTATATTACCTTATATTAACTTATATTAAGGATGTCTGTACTCGAAACATCAGACAGAGTAGTAACCTACATTTGCCAAAAGTAAAGACTGAGTTCGCCAAGCGTTCTTTTTACTACCACGGCTGCAAGATTTTTAATACCTTGCAAAATAGTTAAAGAATTTTTATTCATTCAAATATATAGTATAGATTTTTTTTCCCCCATATTCTTTCATGAATTATATGTATTTAAATTTTTATATCCCTTTTTTGTCTCTCTCTCTTCTTGTAAATATTAATAGTATCTAAATTGTAAATAACTTTTTCATATTTTTATCCTTTTTAGCTTAGATAAGTATTTGTATTAAGAGTGTGCCCAGGGCCCCTATTGATAGCAGTGCCCCTCGGGGCTCTGAAAGAGTTACCCTGAGCCTTATAATAGATAAAGGTTTCTATTCTATTCTATTCTATTCTTAATTATATAGCCACATATTAAGAGTGGATGTCCGTAAAGATCGAACAAATGTTGGCAACGGCTGAAAAATCGATTTCGCTCATATTTTGTAGGTTGGTASAGGAATGTTTCCTAAGAATCCCTATGTATTTGGTTTGCTTCAATTTCGCAATAAAACCGAGAAAATCGACTTTTTCTAGAGACACCTCGAAATGTTGATATTCGCTGTCGATTTTGGCTCGACTTTATGAAGCTCTAAATAAACACCAAGTAACGCAAACAGAAAAATACCTTTGAGCCCTTGTAACACCACACTTTGTTTATAAATAGCGTGACTTTGAGCGTGGTTAACGGATTAAAACATATTGAAATCGTTATTTTCCCTAGAGATGTATTTTAAGTCGCAAAAAGTAGGGTGTACAAACTGGCTAACTGTGAATTTGCGAAACCTTTAAAGCTCATGAAATCTGGATATTTTGTAGTTCTAACAATGTACTTTAAGAAGTTTGAATCAAATCTTTGGGCAATTGTTTTGAAGTACGCGAAAAAGCTCTCATATGTCACATAAACTTGACCTTTGGCGCAAACGGCCAAACAATAAATACAATGAATATAACACTGTCGAGCCAAA